ACTACTACTACTACTACTACTACTACTGCTACTACCACTACCAGTACTACAACTGATCCTACTGGTACTACTTCTACTACTACGACTAGGAGCCGAAGAGGAGGAAGAGGAGGAGGGAGAGAAGGCGATGGGAGGCAAGACAGAAGGCGGTCGTCCTCGAGTCCTACACGTAACCGACTCTGTCGACTCACACGACGGCGACGTCCTGGACCAGAATGCAGGTGGTGTGCGTCGTTGGGGCCCCTCGCCCTGGTGTGAGTCGTTCGGGCCCTTCCTTGTGTGAGTCGTTCGGGCCCCTCGCCGAACGACTCACACATCGAGGAGGGGCCCGAACGACTCTGACCAGGAGGGGGGACCCGAACTACTCACACCAGGAGGAGAGCACCGAACGAATCCACTGCACCGTGGTAGCGGCCACACCCACGGCTAAAACTGCCTGATATCCCAGTTTGGCAAAGTAGCGATACCACCCATTACTGATGCAGCGGTGTATCACAAGGTACTCCCAGTACTGGACGAGAGACTATACACCATCTCAGCCCACTGCCGGACACCCGAAGGAACCCCGCAATCACCAAGAATAAGAGGCAATAGCGGCGAGTACACTAACCAGCACCATCACCTGAGCAGAATAACAAGCACCAGTACAGAATACAGAAACCAGTATCAGCGAACCCACGAACAGAAACTCAATCCCACCAGCCCTTTGGGCGTGAGTGGTTTAGAGAGCCCGCTCTGTCCTCAACCCCCCTTCTTCCCCTTCGGGGAGGGGTTTACCCCTCCCCCTACCCCCTCCCCCTGGGCCTGGACAGGGAGTCCCGGGTGTTCTCAAGGGGGTCTTTTTCGACTCCTGGGAGGGGCAAAAAACGACGACCCTCACGAGGATTCTGGCCCCGACGGGGGGGGCAGAGTTTGGCCCCTCTGCTCTTCTTTGAAGCCAACATCATTGACTTTACTAGGGTGTTGGCCCCATGTTGGCCTCCTGAGGGGGCCGCGCTTCTCTTCCCTCATAGCAAAATCATGGATTTTACGAAGGTTTTGGCTTCATTTTGTCCTTCTCAGGGGGCAGCTCTCCTTTGCGCTTCTGCGGAGGTCGCAAGAGGCCCCAAGATGGCCCCAAGAGGCCCCCAGGAGGCTCCCAAGAGGCCTCCAAGAGGCCCCCCAGAGGCCCCCAAGCGGCCCCAAGAGGCCCCCAAGAGGCCCCCAAGAAGAGGCCCCACGAGGCCCCAAGAGGCCCCCAAGAGGCCCCCAAGAGGCCCCCAAGAGGCCCCACGACGCCCCAAGAGGCCCCCAAGAGGCCCCCAAGAGGCCCCCAAGAGGCCCCCAAGAGGCCCCACGAGGCTCCAAGAGGCCCCCAAGAGGCCCCACGAGGAGCCCGAACGACTCACATCAGGACGAGGGGCCCGAACGACTCACACCACGAAGAGCCCGAACGACTCACACCACAAGGAGGGGCCCGAACGACTCACACCAGGACGAGGCGCCCGAACGACTCACACCACGAGGAGCCCGAAGGACTCACACCACGACGCGGGCCCCGAACGACTCACACCACGAGGAGCCCGAACGAGTCACACCAGGAGGAGGGGCCCGAACGACTCACACCAGGACGAGGGGCCCGAACAACTCACACCACGAGAAGCCCGAACGACTCACACCAGGACGAAGAGCCCGAACGACTCACACCACGAAGAGCCCGAACGACTCACACCAGGAAGAAGGGCCCGAACGACTCAGACCAGGACGAGAAACCCCAAACGACTCAAACCACGAGGAGCGTTTTCTCTCCCTCCTCATTCGCCTCCTCCTTCTCCCGCTCCCCCCACAAGGAGGATGTACAAGGAGGCGGGAAGAAGGAGGAACAGGGGAGATATGCGGGGCCAAGCGGACACACGCCTGAAAAACACGACTGTCGGCATGCTTCGCGAGAGTTGTTGCTGTGAGATGGGCTGGTGGGGATACGCGAAGCGTAAAGAATTTGCCCACAACCGCCACGAGGGCCTCGAACTGTTGTGGGACCAGACATCAGGCTTACCAGCCATCTCTTTAGCTCCTCAGCTATGTGGTAGATATACAAGCAAAAGACGGTGGCAAGGATAGCGCTCTTACGGATCAAATCAAAAGCCGGGTACTGCACTGTGAGGCCGAGACCAACACGGGGGAGAGGACATGGCGGGACCACAGCCCAGGGACGACTGACAAGGTGGGTGAGGCGAGAGCACTTCAGATAATGTGCCATACTGCCTGGGAGTTGGGAGCATCCGACAAAAATCCTCCCGGAGATCTTCTGTGACATGCATGCGGTCGGTGTTGCCTGCGACTATCTGGAGGAACGGCCAGCGGATGGACGGCGGGGCCCGGGATAATTTCTATCGAAAAAGATCCCATCTCGCTTCCAGTCGCCTGGGCGTGGTGGCGATGATCCATTACCGTAAACGCCGCCCAATTCACGCATGCAGCCCATCTAGGAATGCAGCCCGGGTCAGGGCGCGCAAACAGATCCCTTGCATGCTCGGCTTCCTGCCGGCTTCGGTGGCGGCCAAGGCAGACTGGCGAGCACATCGCTAGGCATCCCCGATCTAGATGGTCGAGAGACATGGGCGGCGGGATTGCACAGCGGAGCGAGGCACGTCATAGTACTGTACGCTTGCCTGCTTCATTGTCCAGCACAGAGCGTAAATCTCGCCACGAACTGTACCAGCGATTGGGATATGGTCGACCGCCCGTGAGACAACATCCTCTGCCTGCAAGGGGGAGGAGGAGGAGGAGGAGGAGGAGGAGGAGGAGGAGGAGGAGGAGGAGGTGGAGGAGGACGAGGAGGAGGAAAGGGAGGGTCCAGGAGCCAGACTCGAGAATTTAGGCTCATGTGGCCTCTGCCGGGAAGACGTAGGACTCGGGTTGGTCCGGCGGGGCCGTCAAAAAAATGATGAGGCCCAATCTGGAATTTGATGCGACCTCCCGCTGCAAACATCCCACGAAAACTGGACCGTCACAATTCAGGGCGGGCCCGTGAAAATGCGTCGGCGAACCAGAGTTCCGCAAACTCGAACTTTACATTTCCCCGACCCTGGGGCCCTCCAGAAGCCGCCGGAGACCTCCATAGACCTGCAAGGAGGAAAGGAAAGAATAGGGAGGGGAGGAGAAACGGGATGGAAGGGCTGTCAGAGCAGTGCCAGACCGTTTCAGAGTTTCCCATGAGAGTGGCCTGCTGTTGTAAATGGTGTGTCCTCGACCGCCACTTGCCTTCGATGACGCACGATAGGATTACAAGACATAAGACCCAGTTTAACTATAACATCGCTGGCAGTGCTGAACCACCTCGGGTGACCTGAACAATGAACGGTGTGAACTTGGAAACCATGCCCGAGGAACCAAAATGTACTGGAAAAGCCGTACTGGGCAGCAAAGAGTGAACAGATAGAGGAAACGAGAGAAAGATACAGAACGAGCGACAAAAACGTTCACAAGCACTCGTGCCTGCTGTCTCTGTCGACTTGAATCCTTCAAAACATCCAGCTCGGGATCGGGAGCCCTCGTTCACCAGCCCAGCGATGATCTTGGACATATGCTTATCACGCTTCTTCGCCTTCCCTCCAATCCTCTCGCGAGTGCAAATCATCCTAGAGGAGGATGTAGCCGCAAACATTGGCAGACATGGCAGGCAATGCTTGCGATGATGTTACTGAAGGCACAGGCGCAGATTCCGCTCTTGCTCGGCAGCGAATATGTTCGCTGAAACCTGGCCCACCTGTCGCTGCAGCGAGCGCCCAGAAGCGATGACACCATACTACGCGGCAAGGAAAGCGCCCTCTGATCGGAGGCCGACCCAAATACTGTGACCGAGGACGTGGGGGGGCGAGAAGACAGACATGCTGCTCGCTCCAAATACCATGACCCACCCCACAACAACAGCAGCAGCAGCAACAACAACAGCAACAGCAACAGCAACAACAACAACAACAGCAACAAACAACAACAACAACAACAACAACAACAACAACAACAACAACAACAACAAGAACACCACCACCACCACCAACAACAACAATTCCGATTACAATTACAACAACAACAACAACAACAACGACAACGACAACAACAACAACAGCAACAACAACAACAGCAACAACAACAACAACAGCAGCAACAACAACAACACCAACAACAGCAACAACAACAACAACAACAACACACACACACAACGTGAAGGACCGATGCTCAGCTCCGTCGGCCTTCCGCGGCGGAGCCGCACCCATTCCTGCCTCCTTCGGCGCCCGCAGGGAGAGGAGGCCCCTCCAGAAGCGCCCCAGGGACGAAGAAATCTGGAGACGAGAAGGGCGAGACAGGCAACTTGCCCGACGACGACGACGACGACGACGACGACGACGACGGCGACGACGACGACGACGGCGACGATGTCGCCGTCGGACCCAGGCTTGCTCAAACCTGGCGCCCCTTGAATGGAGGCCTCCTAGGTGGGGTCCAAGTAGATGGGGTCGGAAGATCTCGCCGCACCGCCGATGCATCGGCGATGCCTCGGCCATGCACTGGCGACGTCGGCGATACATCCGCGACTTCGGCGCGGAGCAGATTGGGCCCCACATCGAGCCGCCTCGCAGATGCATCGCCGATGCATCGGCGATGCGGCGCGATCCTCCGACCCCATTCACCGCGACCCCACCTAGGAGGCCTAGATTTAGGTCGGACATGTCCCCCTACAGGCGGATGTTGGACGAACATTTAAAACATACTCCAAACATATCCAAACATACCAGGACAAATCCCAAAAGTAGTCAAACAAGCCGTCCTCTGACTCTTTTTAGTTTTTAGAATGATTTTTGAAGGTTCCTCCTGTAGAGGGACGTGCCCGACTTAAGCCTGGATTGAAGGGAGAAGAGGCCCGGACCCCACGAGGCTCGCCTCGACCCTTCGAGGCCTGCGGGCTATGGGGGCCCGAAGGCGGCCCCCCCGAGCCGCGAAGGGCTCGGAGTGTCGGATGTCTGGCCTGCTCCTCGCTCCCTCCCTCGCTCCCTCGCTCCCCTCCCTCCCTTCCCTCCCCTTCGCTCCCTCCCCTTCGCTCCCTCCCCTTCGCTCCCTCCCCTCGCTCCCTCCCCTCGCTCCCCTCGCTCCCTCCCTCGCTCCCTCCTCCCTTCTCCTCCACCTGCTCGGCCCTCGTCCTGCCAAGGCTGGGCGAACGGCGATGTTGCTGAACAGTGATGTTGGGAACCGGATTGTAGGAAATCGCGAACCACACTTTCCGACATCTCCAGTCTGCGTATTGATCGAGCGAACACGGCAACGAGAAGTGTAGGAAAGAGCGAGCCACGCGCTGCATCGCCATTAGCCCGTCCACGGTCCTGGCAGTGGCTGGCGACATACCCCAACTCACACCATGGTGTGAAGCGCAACGTGGCCGACTTTTTCTGACCCCCCCTCTCCGCACATCTTCTCGGCGATGTAGACCCCAGCTTATCGAACTGCTCTTCCCGTCGTTCCTCCTTCTCCTCCTCGCCATCTCTGCCATGAGCTCTTCATGGCTCTCCTCCGCGCCCCTCATCTGATCCTCGTCCCTCCTCCTGCTCCCTGCTCCCACAGCACCCCTTTTCCCACATTCGCCACCGTGCCTCTGGCACGAAGTAAAATACCCCAAGGTTCATGCAGCACTGAGAGCGAGAGGTAGACGCAATGCTGCTTCTGCAGCGAGAATCGTAAGTCTCTAATTGCCCGGGCCAGCCGTGTTCCAAGCACCACCATGAGGCCACAAAGAGGTCCAAAAGAAGCCCAACGAAGCCCAAAAACGGCCTTCCAAATGCGTCCAAACTGCTCCCAGGAGTCCCCGAGAGTCCCCGCACGAGATCCTCACGACCATCCAATAGGCTTTTACCCACAACCCAGGAACGGTGGCGGGATGGGCCGAAGGTCATTCGACATCTTCTCTTGTGGATCATTATTCTCCTCCTGCTGATGCGTCTGCTCATCCTCTTACTTGGCTTCCTCTTCCTCGGGCCCTCCCTCTGGCTCCTCCTCCTGCAGCTCCCCCTCCATATCCTCCAAATAATGCATACCCTCCTCCTCCTCCTCCTCCTCCTCCTCCTCCTCCTCCTCTGGCATCCTGCAGATGAAACCAGGACGATGAGAAAATCGGGCAAGGATAACTCGAGAATCTCTGAGATCCGGCGGCTCTGGAGAATGTCTCGGGCGCCGCGACCTTGTCAGAGCGTTACGGAACGCTCTGAGAGCGTTCCAGAACGCTCTGGAACGAGTTTTTTTGAAGGCGAAGCCAGGACGAGGATCAAATCGGGCGATGATAACAACTCGAGAATCTCTGAGACCCAGCGGCTCTGGAAGATATCTCAGGCGCCGCGGCCTTCTCAGAGCGTTCCGAAACGCTCTGAGAGCGTTCCGGAACGCTCTGGAACGGATGTATCCTCGTCCCAGCCTCGTCCGAATGATCCTCGTCCGAGCCCCGTCCCAATCCTCTTGCATTGTCTCCTTCAGGACACCATTGCAAGTCTGAACATGTCAACGCGTCATCAGTATCAAACCATGGGCCGCTACCGCCGCAGAGGTTAAAGCATCAGCTGCTCCAGGCAAGGGGGAACACATTCGGCTAGCTCCAAAACAAACACGCAGTGCCTGCATATATTGGACGAGCCCAACCCAGGATCCTTGCCAGTACCAGAGGCGAGATGAACATTGACGAAGCAGGCGTTGAAGGCACCGATCCTAAGCGGCAAGGGAGCTGTCATGTTCGAACGCAACGGCGCAAAACATTGCATTCTTATGCGCATAATGTGGTGAGCAGATGGTCATGCCAAATGTGTTGGAGATCGCTTATGGTCGGCAACTTGCGCACATTGTTTGGGTGGGCAACTCAGGTGTAGAACGAGATGCATTCGATGATGATGGCGGCCGGTTGGACAGAGCAAGCCCTATTTTTGAAGAAAGTCCACAGCCGCCATAGGGTCGCAAGGCAGTGAAGCGTACTGCTGGACTGGTTTCTTATGTCTTGTGTGTGCTGCATATCGATTTGGTTTTGTATCGCGCCTCTCCAGTCCTGTCTCCTTTATTCTGTCTACCAGGGGGCCTCCCATCAAATTGCCCAAGCAGAGCACCCCAATAGCAGCAGACCCTGACAGCAGCAGGGGTGAAAAGGCGGGCCGAGGAGTAGAAGGTTGGCTACATGGGGACAGGGGGTGAGGGGCGCGGGGTGATATCACGGCCATGTGCATCCGGGTGTCTGGTCACAAGGGACGGTGGCCGCGCCCGGACCAAACATGCAGCTGGCATTGAAAGTAGAGCACGGCTCCCGAAGAAAGTGCGGGGGAACCTCGAGCGAAGCGGCAGCCAGACCACGGGCGGTCTGGGGCTCCCCGCCCCCCCCCGCCCGTGGCAGGAGGCAACGGCACGAGTCCAGAAGAAGTCGCGAGGGGGCAGCGGGCGAAGCGGCTGCCGCGCCAGGCGTCCTCGGGCTCCCCGCTCCCCCCCTGTGGGACTCTCCTGTAACCTTCTCTGCGGCTGCGAGGGCCCTCTGGCGAGAGGCTATTAGGGAACAGCCTGGGGAAGGGTCCAGCAGCCTCAGGGCCGCTCCAGGTCGCCCCAGGATTCTCCTAGGGGCGCCGCCAGACAGCCAGGCGGGCCCAAGAGGCCTCCAGGACAGCACCAAGAGGCCCGAAGTGAGCTTCCAAATCTCCAAGGACGGCCGAAGATGGTCCACAAGATGACAGAGGATGGGCCCAAGACGCCACCGAGATGGCAAACACACTTTAGCCTGGCGATGGCCCCCCCTAACAGCTTCATCTGTGACGCTGGTGATGGACCTCTCCATGCACAGCCCGTGTAAGGGATGTGCCGACATTCGTAAAAGGAACGCGTGCAAACTTTTCAACTGGGGCCGTATGGGAGGCTCCCTAGAGGGCGCGAGACGTGCAAGGTGTACGTCGGAACGCGCGGGGAAACACATGCAAACTTTCCCACTGGGGCCGTATCTGTGACTGGAGTGAGGGCTATGGCCGAAACGGGCTGACGTTCGCATGCAAACTTCCCCACTTCGCGGCCACGATCTCTGCCAGCTGTGCGCCGAGATGGGCGGCGCCGCCATGCGGACCTTCCCATTGGGGCAGTAGGTGGAGCTCCCTACCTGTGGGGCCATGATTCTCGTGAGGGTGTGGCGACATGGGCGGCGCTGCCATGCGGACCTTCCCACTCGGGCCATAGGTGGAGCTCAGTAGGGGGCTACGATCTACGTGAAGGGTGTGCGCCGCCATGCGGGCCCTGCCGCTGGGGCCACAAATGGAAACCCCTACGGAATGCGAAACGTGTCACGGGTGTGCCGGGGCGACGGTGCCATACGCTGGCGCCCATTGAGACCGGAAGTGAAGCTCCCTGAGGGGCACGCAACGCGTGAGGCGTGCACCGAAATGGGCGCGGCGCCGTCATAGGTCGGCGCCCACTGAGGCCGCAAGTGGAGTTCCCATTGGGGCAAGTCGCGTGTGAAGGGTGTGCCGTATTGTGCGCGGCGCCGCCTGGCAGTGGTGCCTACTGGGATTGCAGATGGAGCTCCCTATGGGAGCGCAAACCATGTTGGGGACGCGTGCGCCACACGTCGACTGAGGCCGCAGGTAGAGCCCAGAGCAACTGCTGGAAAACTCGTGAGATTACCAGCCTCGAACGTATCCCTATCCCTGAGATTGGCACGCCAAAAGGCGATGACAATCTTAGGGATGCGCCCTCAAAAAATAAGGGAATCCCTAAGATTGGCATCCTGATGAGGAGATGCCCAGCATAGGGATAGGGATATGTTCCAGGCTGGTAATGAGAGGGGCGTCCCGAACCAGGTGCGGGCACGCCATGCGGACCCTTCCGCCGGGCCCTGCGGTGGAGCTCCCCGTGGGGGCACGAAACGTGCGGATGGCAGAGGCAAGGATTTTTTTTGACATCCACTACTGCCAAGCCACACTCTCTGGGGGGACGGCGCCTCCCCCCAGAGGAGGGGGCAGGGCTGGGTGGCGCCTCCTGCCACTTTCGCCACCAGCCCTGCCCCACCGCTGACGTCACGGCAACTGCGGGGGGACTCACGCCGAGACGGCTGCCAGTCCCGCAGTGCCGTGGAAACAGCGGGAACAGTAAGCGAGCTGCGGCCAACCGCAACACGCCAAAAAGCTGCACACACACAGTAAAACCTGGAAGAGCAGAGGCAGAGCCGATCCAGGGCGACAGTGGAGGGCCGAGCAGGGAATGCTCTGCCCTCCAGGACGGGTTCGGCCATGCTCACCCCAGCGACGGGTAAGCAGGACCTCCCTCGCCAGACGAAACGCGGCTTAAACTGCAAGCGCGAGATCGAGCGGCCTGGACGGTCAATGCAGCTAAGCGTTAAACAGTCTTGACAGACAGAGGCTGCGAGCACGGGCACAAGCGGCCAGGACGGTCAATGCAGCAAAGCGTTAAAACCCCTGGTCACAAGCACCCGCCTAAACAGCGGAAAAAGGAGCAGAAACGCGAGCTAATCAGAGCCAGATTCGGAATCGCAAACCCTACCTGAGGCACCTGCAGCTGCCTCTTCGAGCCTGAGAGCTACGGCCACTCGGCGCAGCTGCTCAGGGCCGTCCAGTTCGTCGCCGTTCACGAAGGAGGGAGGCTCGAGGGCGGAGTGGGGAATCGTACCTGCAGGCAATTCTTCAGGTCGGCCAACTCCCAAGTTCTTCCTTGGGTGGCGACCTCGCATGACTTTGTTAAAATTGGTGCGGCCGTGGCCGCGAAGCTCATTGGGGCACTCCTTGGACAAAGCAGTCTTGACAAAAACCGCTTGGCGCATATAGCCCCCGCATTTGGGGCAGAAGTGGAAATCGGCACCATCCGTGCACGGCAGGACCACAACGCTATGACCAAGAGAATCAGCGATGTCCAGATCAGCGCTGGCTTTGCCGATGCACGATCCGCCAGGCGGCATGGCGCAAGAACGAGAACCTACCATGCACACAATGCATCTCCACACAGAGTGTTGCCACTGCCACTGATGCGGGACCGAGGGCTCCACGGGACCACAGGTGGTGCGACAAGGGGTGGCCAGCGGAGCGTCCTCGAGCTTCAAGCGTGGCCACAGCGGCAGCAACTTGGCAGCGAGACGGCAAACGACTTTACTGATTTTGACGGCGCGGTTCACTCGCTCTTCTTCCTCGGGCGACGGCTGGGGGTGAGAGCGGGCGCCGCGCTGCGCAGCTTGGTCGGCAAAATCGTTACCTACTCTACGGATTCTCTCAGCATCAGATATGCCGATCTCATCCACATCCTGGTGGGCTTTCACTTTCACCACAGACTGGACGAACGGGGCATTATTGATATACAGAAACTGGCCAGCATAGCGCCTCCTGTACGACAATCGTTCACTAGGGGGCAGGCGGAAATGATTAACTACCGCAAGGCAGTCAGAAAAAAAAACTTCAGAATTGGCTACAATGTGGAGAGCAGCCATGGCAAGGGAACAATACTCCCCAGCTGGTGCTGTCTGGCTAATCGGGTGGTGCACAGGACCATGCAGGGCGCACAAGAGGGAGCCCTGGGGGGGGACCACGCAAACCCCCCAGCCCGCCCTTGAAAGTTCTGAGATGGGATGCCAGAAACAACTCCCGTCAACATAGATACTGCCCTGCAAGTCCCCATTAGCGAGCGCCTCCGAGAAGTCCTCTTCCTCAGCAGCTGGCAGAATGGCCCCTCCCCCCGAGCTAAGGGCCTTCGGCCAGAACGATTCGGGATGCTCGAAGATCCCCCGATCGAAAAGGATGCGATCCCCATCAGACAACGGACCCAGGGCAACTTCTAGGATCTCTGGAGGGATAAGCTCGCTGCGAGTCTCGGACACTGCGGGGCACTCGTAAAGTCTGTGGTGCACAGAGTCTGGATAAGCACGACATAGAGGGCAGAGCAACTGCTCGTCGCTGAGCTGGTAGCCCACCTATGCGGCTCTGTCGGTAGTCCAGGCACCGCCGCAGCAAAGGTTCCTGATCGAACCCTTCTCCAGTGCAGTATATTTCTTCGATCGCATCTGGCTCTTGCAAATGTCGAAACAAGCCCGATCCCACCCAACATCCAAGCTACTTCCCACATGCATTTCAAGACCCCTCACCACTGCCCGCCTGAGGATGTCCTTCAAGAGGGCTGGGCTGACAAAGGTGAGAGAGACTAATGTGCCGTCGTGCATGGCGAGAGTGGCGTAGTTGGGCATGGACCAACCGATGCGCTTGACAGACAAGAAAAGGGCAGAGATCGGGCCAGCGACAGATCGCCACGTCTTGGGCTGCAGCTTACCCTCGAACACTGACGACCAGCACCTCCGGAGCTCCTTATGAGACATACCCCCCAAGTATGGATGATACTGGGCCGCCCATAACTCCTTTCCCCACCGAACGATAGGTGCGACCATCCCGTAGTAAGTGGGGTCGTCCTCACAAACCAAGGCAGAAGAGAGGCCGCGGCCGCCACAAGCCGGCCTAAGACACTTGCCTGCTTGGCGGCGGATGTGGGCAAGCTCGGCGTCGCTGACCCCGTGGATCTCGCAGCCGAAATTGATCCCCGCCAAAGCCCCACTGGTGAAAATCTTTTTAGCGGAACGACCCAGGACCAGACGTTGTTTGCTGATCCTGCTGACGCGCTTGTCGAAGGTGGAGCGACGCTGCTTCGCTTTCCTACAACGGCCCTTGACCCTCCTAGGCAGCCCAGCGGCATCGTCAGTCCCCAGGTTGACAGCCGAAGAGGTCCCCCCAGGGCCGGCCCAGACACCCAAGAAGGCCAGAAGTTTTTCCCCCAGACGCCGCTGACTGCATATGAGGCTCGCCTTATCAGGAGCGATCTGGCACTTGATGTCGGCCTCCACAGCCTTGAACAAGCCCACTGCCCCGACGGTGATGGCCGAATAAACTTCTTGAAAGCTACCCTGAGCAGACAGACCTAGGTCATCAATGAAAAGATCCAGGCTGGACGACAGATGCAGCTGGACATTCACAAATGCTTTCATGTAATAGACCCTGACAAAACTAGTAGCAATGCTGCATCCCGCAATGACGCCACGGATCGCCAGGAACGGCCCCTGGATGAACCCACTGATGTTTATGCACCTGGGGGCCCGATAGGCCGTAATACAAAGCCTGGAAACCACCTGCGGGAAACCCGACTCGTCACATCTTGTCGCGAGGTCCTCTAGGTCCATGGTTTCATAGAACTTGTACATGTCCCAGAGGAGGGACGCCGAGCACTTGCCTTGCTGGACAGCCGCTTCGCTCTTGGCAGTCTGCCGCCAGACGACATCCGAGGCCGACTTGAAACCATAGGCTGCAAACATCGCATGCTGGTTAGCCTCCTCCCACATCAACGCCTCCCTCCTCCTGCACTTCCCCCAGAGTCTGTAGGGCGAGGTGACGATGCCTATGGGGCGGAGGCCGCCCAGCGGCTTGGCCAGCATAGCCAGCATGACCAAACGCAACTGCTCAGGCAAGACGGTCATCGTCTCCATGATGGCGAGAAGCAACGAGACAACTTGCAGAGCTTTGTCACACAGCAGCGCGTAATGCCGAAGGTGAAAGCCATCAACAGACACAGCTGACCGCTTGGCGTACCCCCTGCTCTTCTCCCTCAAGCATTCAGGTGACACCAGGGGGAGATGTTCCAAGGGTTGATAAGGCTTGGGATCCATCAAATCGAACAATTCGGTTTCGGCCAACCATAGCTTCTGGAAACGTTCCCCTTCAGCGCGCAGAAGGGACCGAGGATCAGAAACCACCTGGCCCGCCGCACTGAGGGTCGTGGAGGGAACCCAAGCTTCTACTGGACGCGTCCAGGCATGGGCGTTGCGGCCACCACCCTGGTCAATGTCCCTTAGAAGCCACTCCTTCCACGACCGCTCACCAGCAGCTCGAGCCGCCTTGGCGGTCGAGTCCAGCAAGTCGGCTAACTCGATGGACACGCTACCTATGGCCTCCAAGGTGACCTCGTCCTGCCCAATGAAACCCAAAACTCTACGATGAGCCTCAAAGATAGCGCCAGACCCCATATGCTTCTGAATGAACGGCGAGGGGGACTCCAGAACCTTCTTGGCACTCTCGATAGGGATCCCGCCCGAACAGTTACCCTGCAAGGTCCTCCAAGAAGTAGTCCAATCCCTGAAACTCTGCGAGAGCCATCTACACACAAATAGTTCAGGATGCCGAGCGGGACGCTGGTCACGCCCCAAGACTGGAACCCACCAGACCTTGGGGATCTCACCTCGACACCCAGTTTTAGGGAGCTTAACCTGGAGCTGATCGGCAAGCTCAGCTTCGGCAAGGTTGGCCCATCGCTTATACAAGTCGGTGAGCCCATAGTGAGCGTCCAGAGACCCCCGACGGGCACAGTCAAGTACTCCATTAGCTAAAGCCAGCGTGGCATCCCAGTCCTGAGGAGCAGGTCCAGGCCCGACAGGAACTTCAACAGGCAGGGGAGGAGGCTTTCTGAACTGTAAGACTCGAAGATCGGCTAACCTGGCATGGAAATCGACCCCCGCAGGCGAGTGAGGGGACGTCGGAGCATACCTGTCGACCCACGAATTCTTGACACCTTTCGATAAGCCCCCAGAGACCACGAAAAAATCATAGACCTTCCCACCAGCTGAGCTAAGACAAGTGGACAAACCGGCCGTGATCACCTGGCCCTCTAATCGCTGAACGAAGTTGGAGTCGTCTAGCAACGGAGGCTCCATATTGAAATCGCCTCCGATCACAAAACTGTTGAGACTGCTACTGGCAATCGTACCAATCTTCGACAGCAGGGCCAAGTTCCTGTCGGACAAGCCCTCGCAGCACGACAAGTAGCAGGAGATGCACAGGATGGGAGGAAGGTCCCCAACATGAACAACCCCAGCAACGGCACGATAGTCTTCCACCACATAACCCCCTGGGGGCCAATGGAGGCCCAAACCTGACCGAGCTAGAATAGCCACCCCTCCTGAAGTGCCTAAGTCTGACGAGGCCTTAGCACTCCCGAAGATCGATTTCCAACCGTGACTAAGGGCCCAGCGCTGAGCGTCTGGGATCTGGTGCACGAGCAAGTGGTGCTCCTGGAGCAACACCACGTGCGCCGCCGTCTGCAAGAGCCAATCCTTAGCAGAACTCCAGGCCGTGCAATTGCATGTGACTATCTTCAGGTTCATGGCATCCCCCCCAGGGGCTGGGGGGGCCTTAAAAACTTCAAAACTTTCAGGCAGAGAAATCGAACCTGAGGGGGGAGGAGCCTGCGGGCCGACAGGGGAAAACGCAAGATTGGGCTGAACACCAGCTCGCTTTTTGCAAAAGTCCCCCTGTTTACAGACGCCTCGGGTACTGTTGGCGGAACACAACAGCGAAGCTATATATTTATCAAGAGAGCGAATGGACTGAGCAAGGCGATCCTCAAGCTCAGCTCGATTAAAGACTTCACAGTATGGAGGTTGGGAAGAGATGTAGTGATGGGCCCCCCTGCCCGCGCTCACAGCGGAGTCACGCGGGAGGGGGCTAATGGCACTTTGCGGGGCCCAGGGCTGCTTCAGCACGTGCACGAACGTCGGGAGGTGCATCCCCAGCTTCACCAGGCTGCTTGGCCGCCTCGCCATCGGGCGGGCCCGCCGCAGCGCTGGCAGCAGCGCGGCCGTCGGGGCCCGACCCAGCGCCGTTCGCCACAGCCGCCTGGCCTGGCCCTGCACCGCCACCAGAGACGGCCGCGCCGTCCTCGCCCTTCCTCTTCTTACCAAGACGCTGAACATGCTTTGCTTGCTCATCACGAGCAGACTGAGCCTTCTCCAGCGCCCCCTTGAAGAGGGAGTTGCACGCCTCGCGGAACTGCTCGTTGAGTGCTGCACGCCGAGCTGCCATCTGCTCCTTGTCCTCGTCGGAGACCTCGTACTCGCCCTCGTCGAAGAGGAAGATCGAGTCCAACGAGACCATATCCAGCACGTTGCACGAGCCCTGCATGAGCTCAGACACATCCACCTTGGTACGCTCGAGAGGTTCAGCGGGGGTGGGATCGACCACGTTCCCAGCCAGCTCGCGGACCAGGTCCTTGTAGTTGTCGTCAGCAGCCTGCAAGGACTGCTGAGCCGCCGCCGTCGAAGCCTTCTGCTCCTCCACCTGCTTCTCCAGCTTGGTGAGCTTATCGAGCTCCGTGGACAGCTTCCGCTCCCAGTACTGCACACTGCTGTGGGCCTTGGCTGCACGCTGCTGGACGGGGGCAGGAGTAGAGGTGCGGAGCAGCTTGTCGAGCGCCGTCTTGTGACGGGTGGCCGCCTCGCCGTCGCCAGACTTCTCGCACAAGCCGATGAGCGTCCGCAGCTCGGTCTCGGACAGCTGGGCCGAGGGAGAGCCAGCTGGATGCCCGCCAGCACCGCCAGGGCCCCCAAGAGTAGGAACAGGCGCAGGCTTGAGGGCAGGCCAGTGGATGCCCGACCTCGGCCAGCCCTGCCCGACGGGGCTGGGGGGTCCTGCACGCATCTCTCCGCAGTGCTTGCAAGCGATCCAGCCCTCGAGGTTCTTCTTGCATCCGCATGCCTCGCAACGCCAGCGGCGGCCCGACCACGACCCCGTGTCCTGACGGGGGGGTGACCAGCTCCATTGGCCACCGCGGTCGGGCTGGGCGCCCCACTGGCCCGACGGAGGCCCAGCCCTGGCCGCCGACCCTGCGCGCCAGGGTGCCTGGGTCGGCCACGCCCCGCCACCATTGCTGCGAAGCTGCCAAGCATTCTTGGCCATGCGAGAGAGATTCCGAAGCCAAAAAACTGGCTCGCACACACAATGCTGTCCTGAAGTTGGTGTGTGCAATGCCCAAAAGCTCGGGCACAGGACAGCTAGGCAGAGGCAAGGATGCAAGGAGAGAGGAGGGGGGAGGAGGAAGGAGGAAGGACGCGGGGCGCTGTCTCTTCAAAGCGAAGACCCAAGTGGGAAAAACACGAAATTGACTGAGGCCTGGAGAGGTACGGGCGATCACGAGCGACCGCGCTGAATGCCAGCCCGGGTCCTGAGGCGACAGCAAACGGCGCCTTTGTTCCCCAGCGCGCCGGCGAAGCCGGTCCTGCCCCCACCTTTTCAAGAGCGTCGCTCGTCTGGAGTCCGATTGCAACTCACCTCCCTCGGCGCAACCTACGAAGCGAACGCGGCAAACATTGGGCTGCGCAATAAAACGGACTCAAGGCTGTCGGAGGAGCCGATCTGTGCTCAGGACATTGATCGGTACAGGGCTCGGAAAACAACAGCGTACACTCCTGCCACGTTCATCTGTCAACGCCTCCCCCTCCCCCCAGTGTTCAAAGTTGGCGGTGGGTCTGATGAGCTGCACCTCGACCGCAGTCTCCCCCGCGCGTGCCAAAATTGAGTTCGGGGGAGGGAGGGGGAGTGTTCAGTAATTGTTTCCCTCTAGCGTGCCATCCTGCAAAAGTAATGCAACTCTCCCCGCCTCCCCAGGATTTCCCAGAACCCAGCAGGAGCGCCCAAAGACGCGCAGAACCGCCTGAAACTTCTATCCTCGAACGACGCCGACGACGCTGACCACGACGACGACGACGACGACGACGACGACGACGACGACGACGACGACGACGGCGGCGGCGGCGGCGGCGACGACGACGACGGCGGCGGCGGCGACGACGGCGAGTGTTCAGCGATTGTTTCCCTCTACCGTCGGCACCTGGTGCTGCGAGGGAAGATTTGGGGGATGCGGGGGAGGCTGACGGAGCGGAAACCCAGGCCGTCACCTGGACTCAGATTCCGGGGGTCAGGGCCCAAGCGTCGCGAGATTCCAGCATCAACCCTCGATAGTCTGGGTCCAAGCATCGGCCAAGCATCGCGAGATTCTGGCATTCACCCTCAAGCCCAAGCGTCGCGAGATTCTAGCACCGCCCAAGCATCGCGAGATTCCAGCATCTGATTCTGAGGGTCTGGGCCCAAACCTCGCGAGATTCTGGTGCCAGCCCTCAACATTCTGGGTTCGCGCCCGGAAGCCCTTGGAGGCGGGATGATGAAGCGAAATTATTGGGAGGCGGGGCACGATCAAGGTGATGAGGACAGGACGGATGGAGAGCGGGAGGAAGAGAATGGACAGGAGGAGAAGGAAACAGAGGCTGAGAAGGGTGGGCGATAACGAGGCGGAGGAGAACAATGGAGCGGGGGGCATGCAAGATCGATAGGACTATGAGGCGAAAAGGGAAGGAGACGGCGCAGGAATCACAGAAGGAGGAACGGGTAAAACAGAAAGAAAGACATTCGTTTCACGCTGCCCCCACCTCCCTCCCGCAAGGCATCTGCCTTGCCTGACCTCTCCCAGGATACTATGGTGAACGCTGCTGCTGGAAGCGATCAGCAAGAACAACAGCGGTCAAGACACTAGCAACACGTCACATCGAACATGTGTCCCTGCAACGGGACACGCGGGCTGGCTGTTGTCTCGAGCCGCAACCCTAGCCCCTCTTGATAGATTTCATCTGGATCTTGCCGACGAGCGGGACCAAGTCCTTCGTCCGCCCATCCCTTCTCTGTACCCTGACCTGACGCCCGCTCACCGTTCTGCGCTCTCTGACCCGCAGTGCGCCACACTCTCGTGCCCGGTGTCAAACCGCACTGACCCCCGAAAGGTGCACGAGCAGAGAACGAGTGCTACGCTTGAGAACCCGCGCGAGGGGGCATACAATGAACAAGAATTCCAGGGAAGGGGGATTGACGATTACAGCCGCAGTCCGCTGCAAGGCTGCAAGGCAGCCGCAGATTGGACGCCACCCCGTCGCGGCCATGAATGGGCGCCGAGGCTTTGCCTTGGACGGCACCGAGGCAACCAGCTCCGCGCATCATCAGAGTGGCGTGAGTGCGAGCCTCGGAGTCAAGCCAGTGCATTGCGCCACCGTTGCAGGGACAGCGCGACAGCGGCATCGAAGCTCACACCACGTCCCATCGAGTCCTCTCGGGCAGGAGGAGGGCCCAATGAGCGCGGCCCAGACCGAACTGCTCCCCAGACGAAGGACGAATGAGGCGTCTTACGCATACTGTTGCATACATCTTCAACGGATCCATTTCAAGTCGAGGCGCCAATGGGGTTTGGTTTAGCCCTGTCTGTAGTGACATGACGCAAACATAGCGGCGGGGCTGAGGGGGGACGACAACATAACGTATAGCAGGACAGGGAGCATCTCACAACGGCGGATGCGAACGTGTGTGTATATATGTATGTATATATATATACAAACGTACACGCATAAAATTATATTCATGTATGCATATAGGTATGTGTGTGTGTCTGTATGTATGTCGGTGGGTAGGTAGGTAGGTAGGTGAATATATATATATATATATATACACACGTGGCACGTGTGTGTCCAGGCTCATACAAACATGATTGCAGCACGAAGGCATCGCCTAACATTGTCAATAAGAAGACTATGAAGCCAGATCCGAGGAGGATGGGAGGAAGGAGATGGAGAAGGAGAGGAAGAAAGAGAGAAGGAGGATAATGATGATCACAAGGGAGCTGTTGGAAAGGAGGTGCAGCAGCGGGATCCCAGTCGGAAGCAGGTGGGGTCTCCACACCCTGCGATCTGTGTGGCGCATGAGAGTGTTCCACACCTTGCGATTGCAGTTGACAAGAAGCTCCGAAACCACTTTTTAGAGGATGCCTCGAGCCTTGAATGAAACTGTCGTGTTGACTAATCTGCCACGGTGCCTGCACGGAGTGGGCGTGTTAGAATGCTCCTGGGGTCCCAGTGGGAGTGTTATAACATATTTTCTAGGGCCGACCCCCCGCCCTGTCTCGCACGCGAAGTTCAAAAATCCCCCACCTGAAATTGCCTCCCAGCGCCCTTGTCGGCCTCCAGACGCCAAGATGGCCTCCAAGACGCCCAAGACAGCAACACAACGGTTGTCAAGACAGCCTCACGACGGCCCCTGCGGTCCCCAAGAGACCCTCAAGACGGCCCAAGAGGCCGGAGGGGGAGGATCTGGATGTCCGCCATCGCGTCCCCTGGCAAATTGGGGCGTGGCAGAAGGCCAAGCTTCTGTGTATCAATAGGGCCCCTTGAGGAGCGGACTGGTGCGTGCATCGCCCCTGCTCCTGAGGCCACGATCCCTGGCAACAAAAATGTATCCGCACTCCCGAGGCCACGACCCCTCGCTAAAACCGACGGATCCGCGTCCAAGCTTGCAAGGCGGCCCATACGGGCAACCAGCGACAGCAAGATAGCCCAAGGTGCCTCAAAAGCAGCCCAAGGTGGCCCGAAGGCGGCCGGATGTAGCCTCAAGAAGGCCCACGATGCCCTCAGCAGTGCCCAAAAAAGGCCACAAGAGGACAGCCAACAGGGTCCAAATAAGCCCAAATCCAGAAGTTCCTTCAGGTGTTTGACTGATGTTCGAATGCTCGTATGTTCGGGCTCGCGTCAGCTCAAGACGGCCCGAGAAGCCTCCACGATGGCCCAAGACGACCCCCATGATGGCCCAAGAGGCATCCAAGACGGCCCAAAGACGGCCTAAGAGGGCCTCCCGTGCAACCCAAAACGACCTTCGAATACGCTTGGACGGCCCAAGACGGCCACATGACGGCCCCAAGGCACCCACCATAGGGCGAAGAGGGCCCGAAGACGACCCAAGAGAGCCCTAGGACGGCGTCAGAGGGCCCCAAGACGGCCTAGGAGGGGCCCACGGGCCCCCCCAAGACTGCCTCACGCCTCGCAGAGGGCCAAGACAGCCCCAAGACGGCCACACGAGCTCCATGACAGCTCCTCAAATACAGAAGACGTTAGGGGTCACGTGTGACGGCCTTTCTCCTCCCCCTTCCCCTCGTCATCGTCATCATAACTGTCGAGCCGAGGCGACTCGAGCGAAGTTTTGAGTCAACCTCTCCTTCCTCACTCTCTCTTTTGCCGCCGCCTCCGCGGCTGTATGGGATCGAGGAGGGGGCCCCCTCTTTTGTGCAGAGAGCGCGGCAGACACGCTCGCCGGCACGGGCCGGCGCCAGATGCTCGACGGACGAGCACAGCACATCTCATCGTGCAAAGTACAGCGTCGACGTTAATCACGACATTGGTATTGCGGAGCTTGATCCACGGACCAGTTCTGGTGGTCCCCAAGGGACCAGAACACCATGGAGCGAGACGACAAGAAGGCAAAGGACGCCATCCCTGAATGGGACGGCAACCCAGGACGTTGGCGACACTTCGAGACGGCAGTGAAGTGGTTCCCTCGCACGCTGAAGAAGCAGGACAGGGACCTAGCGGCGAACAGGATCATCGGTCGCATGCTACAGAGCAAGACGATAGCCATACGGACGTTTGCGACCACCTTGGATCCAGACAGATATGAGAATCCGAACGGCCACCTCCTCCTCTTAGACGATCTGAGGAACAGTCCACTGGGAAAGCTACCTATCCCAGATGCGGCCCACAAGATTAAGCACTACTACAAGGACTTCAAGCGCCGCAAAGGCGAGACAGTGGGCGCGCTCCTGATCCGGGAGCAGGACTGTTACTCAGAGATGATCCAGGCGCTGGAGCGCCTCTTGGAGGAGGTGGGCGACAATGACAAGTACAAGCAGTGCCGAGAGTGCTACGGTTACTTCGACAGAGACCGTGGCGCAGCCGGACGTGGACAATGGTACTGCCAGAGGTGCTGGGACCACTGGGAACCCAGCCCCGATGCGCCAACGCCCTCAGAGGATGCCCCTGCGGAGGATGCAGAAGAAGCAGATGAGTATGAACGACAGTCGATTACGTCTCGCTCGCAGGGCTCTCGAACGGATCGATTTCACCGACAAGAATCCATGGCCAGCAAGCTCAAGGTTTCGGAAGCGATGGCAGTGGGCTCCACATTCTTCGGCCATGCTTCTGGAGTCCTGAAGGTCCTCCGCGGTTTCTTCCTGCTCGAGGCGATGGACTTCACCGAGAAAGAGAAGCAGGACGTCCGCGTGGTCACGCAGAATCGCTTGGATTTCGATGCAGTCTCCAAAGCTTTGAAGGAGAGATGGGAGGACAAGGCGCTGGTGCAGCGGGACTTCGGACCGAGGGCCATACCTCGGTACGGCCCGGAGTCGAGCCCTCAGTCAGCCCTCGCTGCAGAGTTTGACGACGCACACGGACCGGACTGGTATGACGGCTACGCAGCGGCAATTCAGGCGTGGGAGAACGACGGTTACGACCACGAGAACGAGGACGACTACGACGTCGTGGAGGAGCCGCAGCTCACCTCAGAGCCAGAGGAGTCCGAGGCCATGGACGAGGATCTCAACCATCTCAACGAGGAGCTTGAGGCGGCCCAGGCGATGGCAGCCGAGGCTTCACGTACTCTAGTTCAAGCCAGGCAAGCAGTGGCCGCAGCTCACAAAGATCGAGGATTTGGCAAGCCATCATCGAGTCCAGGAGGGAAGAGCCGCCTTCCCCCGTCGTGGCCACACCAGCCGCCCTCGAGACCGCCGTTCAATGGTCGAGGCCCCAAGGGCAGCAAGAGCGGCAAGAACGGCAAGGGCAGCAAGTACCGCGACAGGGACCACGACCAGAAGGGCAAGAATGCGAACTACCTGGAGTTTCACACGATTACGCACGGGTTTGACGAGCTCCAGGGGCTGTACCAGGCGGAGCTGACCGACAACGGCCTCGCCCCCTCTGAGGCCATGGTTGATTGCGGGGCTTCCGCGTCCGCCGGAGGCGAGCGCGCAGTCCAGGCCCTGGTCGCCGCCGTTGCGGCTGCGAACCCGCAGGCCAGGATCGAGATCAACAAAAATGAAAGACCGTGGTTTCGTTTCGGAGACAATAAGTGGGGCAAAGCACTGTATAAGGTTTCGGTCGAGTTCGAGCCGGGCTTCGTTCTGGGTATTTTCGCTCTCAGTCCTGGCGTGCCTCTCGTTCTGTTGGGAATGACCGCTCTGGAGTCGTGGCCGGCAATCGTGAATTTCCGAACCGGGGAGGCTGTGATCAGGGGTCAACTGGTGCAGCTTCGCAAGACTCCAGGCAAGGGCCATTGCATCCTCGATCTGGTGAAGCACGTTTCCGAGATTTTAAACCCGACCGCGGAAAACACCGAGGGTCTTGCAAGGGCGTTTCAGAGATGGTCGATGGCAAAGACCACATCACCACCATCAGCATCATCTCAGACAAGAACGACATCACCAGCATCATCTCAGGCAAGAACGACATTATCAGCATCATCTCGGACAAGAACGACTTTATCAGCACCATCTCAAACCAGAACGACATTATCAGCATCATCTCAGATGAGAACGACACCATCATCAGTATATACGGCATTAACGACAACACCATCATTGATAACAGCAACATCACCTCCATCAACCATAACAGGGAGGGCAGCTCCATCATGGTCATCCCATCCTCCGCCGTCTTTTGGCTCTGGAACTCGCTCTGAGCGGATTTCGGCAACCCGCAAGCCGACGTTTCAGTCAGAGCGTTTCCATGGAGGGCAAGGACGAATGGGTACCTGTCGACATAGATGCCGACAAGAAGGAGGAGGGCCCGGAGGT